ACGGAGGGGCTGCCTAGATACTTGTTATTGGAAGGAGATGAGGAAGGGAAGAAGTTGGTGGCTAGGTTCCGTTGTGGAAACGAGGAGAGAGCTAACAGATACTGGATGGCCGATGAGGAGAGGTGGTGTAGGCTATGCAGGGAGGAATGGGAAACGTTGGAACATATGTTGAATGGGTGCAGTGAGTTGAGGGAGGAGAAGTTGGACCGAGGGCAGATCTTAGGAGAGGGGGAGAGGGGAAACGATGGATGAGAATAGTTGTGGGGGTAAGGAGACAAAGGGAAGGATGAGGGGATGATTGGGCCGAGAGTATGGAAATGGAGGAAGAGGGTAGAAGGTGAAAATAATATACTAATAATATATATTAAAATGTATTAAGGGGATAAAAATTGTAAATATTAAAAACAATAAATGCTTATTATATAAATGTAGAATGAGACGCCGAAGACGACTAAGTAATAAAATATGGGGGTGCCATTTAAAAAAATGAAGTTATGGTACTTCCAAATTTTGAAAAGTTAACGTGCTATAGTAGAGTGACCAAACGTTCTAGACAGCCGTTCTCGGCACTAAAACATACTCCATCATGTTGTTTAAGCATATTCTGAATCCTAAATTGATATCCCAAAAATCGAGTGTTCTCTGATTTTTTGAACAAATGTCTGCTGGAGCAGATTATTCTAGAAAAATTCGAATAACTCGAGAACGGCCGTATCAAATTGCAAAAAGTAAAGTTATTTATAAACCCTGAAAACAGACAAATCCAAATATGTAAAAATATACAGGGTGTTCCATTTAAAAAAATAAAGTAGGTGGCGACTTCCGGTATAACCGGAAGTGCAAGAAATCTGAAAATATTTTAGTCGAAGAGATCGTAATTGATAATACTTAAGTCTGAATTCGCAAATTTTTATTTTCGCCAGAACCCCAGAAACGTCTAATGACCGGTCTCGCTGAGACATCCTGTATATTTGCAAAGCCGTTTAAATTGTTATAAATTATTAAAAATTTTATAATAGAGTTTTAATCACTTAAAACTATCTTAGAAGTGTTCGAAAATATTTTTAGAAAGTCACTAAAAAGCGTTTATGAATGCAAATTGAGTTCTTCAATCACTCTATCTTAGTATTCCCTAAAATTCAAGAGTTTCAAACACATCAAGCTGATTTCTTCTCATAATCATATAGTTTTGAACATACCATTCAAAATCACGTTATATAATATATCGATCCAGTTTCGAATCGTAATAATTTCACTCAGTATCAATTAGTAAGTGTAGAAATTAAACCCGGTTTGGTTTTTTTTTAGATATCTAAGCATTTTTTTTTATTTTAAAGTATATTTCTTGATTAAGTATTCCTTCTCGAATTATTAGATAATCGTGTTGTAAGAACTTTAGTTGTAAACAGTGAGTTATTACGAAGTCTTCTAATTCGATAAAACATAATCAAGATTTTTTGAAAATCATTATTGTTTGTTAGAATGATAACAAAAAAAAAGTTTTGACGCAATAATAGGAAAAAAAGTAGTACTTAAATATGTTTTCACTTTACGAGATTGTTTGTTTGCAAATTAGATGTTTGTGTAAAAATTTGAGACTTTGAATATAAATTCCAAATAATTTTAATATCCAATTTTACATTTGCGTTTAATTACATAAATAAATTTAATTAATGTCTCACTTATATAACGAACGTTAACTTTTCTATTAATTTTATTCTCTTGTGGGTTTTACGAATGAAAATAATTTTGATTGGACACCCCACAGAGGTGTGTATGCTCACTTATAAAGAGCAAGTTGGTTTCACGAAAAGCCATAACCCCTCCCTAAATTTTCTATGGCGATATAAAAGACGCCGGTCGCTGTTTCTTTGTGACATAAGATAACAAATTTTCATTTTAACCCGATCAATAAATTAGTTTCTTTTGAAAGTGTATTAACAAAAATGAAAGGAAAATTAACGAAATTTCTCGTCGATTACGCGATAAATAGATCTTATCTTAAATCCGGTAATAGTTATTCGACCGCGTTTGGTGTTTTGGATGAAAATTTCGGGGATTTACCGAGAAAAATTACGGAAGAAAGTAATGTTAAACCGTACGAATCAATTCCGGGACCTAAAAAATTACCGTTTATAGGAAATGGGTGGAGATTTGCTCCAGTTATAGGTAAAAGAAATTATTTAAATAAAAAATTATATTAAATAAACATAATTTAGGTCAATATCAAATACAAGAATTAGATAAAGTAATGTGGTCTTTATATTGGGATTATGGAAAAATGGTGAGAGTAAGTGGATTATTTGGTCACCCGGATTTATTATTCGTTTTTGATGGGGATATAATAAAAAGCATCTTTAAGTTGGAGGAGGAATTACCTCATAGACCTTCAATGCCGTCGCTACATTATTATAAGCAGAGATTAAAAAAAGACTTTTTTGGGTCGAGTCCCGGAGCTGTTGGAGTGTAAGTAAAATTTAAGTGAAAAATGAGTGATTATTTATATTTTAATAGTCACGGACCTTTATGGGATGAGTTCCGAAGAAATGTTCAACAAATTGTTTTACAACCATCAATTGCAAGGACTTATTATGGACCATTAGATGAAATTGCCACAGAGTTCATCAATCGGTAATTTATTTATTATCATTACAATTACTTTTGAACGCTATAATTAACCATTTAATTTTTTTTTAACACAACACTGATTCTTATCTAAATTCAATGTTTAAAACGGATACAATAAGATATTGACGTAGATAATACTTTTACCACAAAGGTGAGGTTGGTAAATATATATTCTTTTGTGTGACTAAAAGAAAATTAAACTTAAGTGTTATTTTCTCTTTTACTCCAGGAAAAAAATGATTAAACCGATTTTTATGTTGAAAAGTGTGACATTAATTAATTTAAAAGTTATGATGCAATATTTGTGATTTATTTTATATATTTTTCAAATAATATATCGTCGTATATCTCAAATCAAGTTCTTGTCCATACTCTAGACCTGCCTCTTTGTGATTTTTATTTGTTTCTTCAAACTTCATTTGTCGAGTAAAAAGTTTGAAGACGACTACAAATTTTAAAATGAAGTAAAACCTTTTACGAAGAAGCTTGTGCCTCCTTGAGGCCTCCCTTAATATTAACGGCGATTTTGTTAAAATCAACTCTTCGCATTCAGATGTCCAACATTCTTACCAGCGATGATTTAGCACTTTTTGCAAGTCTTTTTGCATCTTCTCACTATTTTCATCTCTTCAAACAATATTAATCTTCTGCAGGCAATATCAAATCATTTGCAACCAATATCTAGACTTTTGTAAGTTGTACCTAATCTTCTGCTAGCAATGTTTAGTCTTCTGCCATCTAGTCTTCAACAAGGAGTACCTAATTTCCTGTAAACAGTGTTTGGTGATTTGTCAAGCAATGTCAAATTTTCTGTCAGAAGTATTTAGGATTTTACAAGCAGTACCTAGTTTTCTGTTAGTAAAATTTAACCTTCTAGAATGAGTATTTAGTCTTTTGCCATTATACAACATGATTACACTACATGCATGCAACTATCATCTCGTCTGTTTGAGTCAACTGCTGTGTCATGGAAGTGTCAAATCTTCTTTCAACCATGTATGTTATTGCTTATTTGCAGATTCTTATTTTGTTTTCCATTTTGAGATATCTGTTTCTCTGTCTGCCAATATTTTTCCAGTGTTTATCTTAGATACGCTTCCTGATTCTGGTAGATTTTGTCCTTCTATTACTTATTGGGAGTACTCTTAAGCTTCAGATTACAATTTTTTTAGAGATTTTGCTTATCAATATTAATATTAAGTCATGTAAAATAATAAATTACTGATATTTAGTATTAATTTTAAATTTTTGTAGAAAATAATTTAACCGTTGAACTATATTTGTAAATAAACATGTATTACGACTTCATGCGTATCGGAAATCATATGTAATAATATATAACTGGATATAACGTAACAAAACTCGACGTCTGAACAATTCCGACAATCATCGTTGTCATTGCCTCATATCATCTTTTGTCGACTACCTACTAATTCGATTTCACTATATTCAACACGATTTACGACGACTTCCACTTGTACTCGTTAGAAGAAGCAAGAAAGAAATAAAAATCGCGCAAAACTAATGGTGACGCAATCGTTTCATGCTAGGTCAAAAAATAAATATCAAATTTTTTACGCAACGCAATAATGACTAAGTAGAATGGACGCGCTAGAAACCGTTTCAGTTTCACAATTTTTCAACGATTTCAATATACTTTGGGATTTGATTTAGAAACGCTTTTTTGTTTTCCTCAAGCGCAATTAAGGTACTATCTTAATGGTAGGTTGATTTCAATGAACTTAATACTTTGTTGTACTCCTTGAACTTACTAGCATTGACTGCAAACTTTGTACGATTATAAAAAAAATTTGAAATTGCAAAATAATTGCGTTGGAAAAACCTTGAAATGCCATAAAGGTAACTGATAAATAGATCATTGCTATTATTAAATAATGAACTTAAATATTGATTGATTTGCGTGGTTTTTGCTATCGACATTATAACATTTGTAAATACTCCTTTATCATTGACACGAATTTAAATGTATACACAAAAAGGAAACCAAACAATTAACTTTTTTTGTGTTTATTTAGCATAGATACGTATCTATTGGATGAAAAAGACGAACTTCCTGCTAATTTTATGAGCGAACTTAACAAGTGGGCTTTAGAATGTAAGTATAGTAGCAGTTATAGAAAATTATTTTTTGTATGCATATCAAGCAGAGTTGAAAAAACCAAGAAAAACTAGAACTAACATTATTACTAGAACATTAGTCTTAGAACTAGAAACATTTGCACTAGACCTAAAACCCGAATGATTCTAATTCTAAGTAAAGTGTTAGTTCTAGTTTTACACTAGCACTGTTACTACGTCAGCAGAGGACTAGAAGTGTTCTCTCACTAGAACTCTATAAAACTAGAACTAAAACTGTACCTAGAACTAGAGTTTGTATCTGATTTCGTAATCCTTTCTCAGTATTATCTATCTCAGTATTCACTTCCTCAGGTGCAATGTTAAATGCCTGTATTAACCACTGTATGCCATCATCTCAGTATCAGCTAAGAGGACGGCATCATCTGCATAGCACTCAACTTTCATTTTGTAATACAACTTCATAGTGTAACCATGCAGCATTTATTTAGGCAACTTTTGCAATCAGAAGTACGTGAGCAAACGACACACTCAAATGTATGTAAATCTGATGATTTCTGGAAAAAAAGACCAAACCAAGGACAACAGAGACAATCCGCCAATAGATTGGCGGAGATTGCTCAACATTGAGGTCGGACGATCGCGATGACCTACTCATCTTCCGGGAAGTACCTTATCTGGATCATTTGTCTCGAGCAATAAATCCCAAAGTTTATGCGTATAGGTTGCGAATCACCCTGTATAGTATAACTAGAATCATTAGGGTTTAGCCGTCTAAAGAGACGTATGGCTAAACCCAAATGTTTCTAGTTCTACGTCTAATGTTAGTTTTAGTGCACTGCCACTAGAAGTGTATAACTAGAACTATCACTATACCTAGAATTAGAATCATTTGAGTTTAGCCGCACGTCTCTAAAGGTCGGCTAAACCCGAATGATTCTAGTTATCTTGTTAAGAACAAAATTTGTTACAACTTTCGTTCGAAAAGTTTTTCTGTGCATGCTCAGATTTAAATTTATTCAATTTTATAGTTGTTGCCTCCTGAGGTCATCATAGTTGACTCCATGCACTTTTGTAGTGTCAAGAATACGTTATCTAATTTTTCTTTAGTTAATGCGTTGAAGGCACTTTTAACACAATCTATTAATTCATTCATAGTTTTTGGCGATGTTTGCTGGCGATTTTGATATTTTGAGAATTCCTGGCTTGAACCTAAGAAATGGTGATATCTATGATGGTATTGACTATAGATTATGTTATCTTGATTCATTATCATCAATTTTTAAGCATAACGTTTTTCTCCATCACCTTTATTTTTCTACTTATAACAGAATTTAACGCAGATGATTGTCAATTTTGATATTTTGAGATTCTTGGCTTGACCCTAACAAATGGTGATATCTATGGTGGCATTGACTATAGATTATGTTATCTTGATTCATTATCATCAATTTTTAAGCAAATCGTTTTTCTCCATCACCTTTAGTTTTCTACTCATACCAGAATTGAACGTAGATGATTGTCAATTTTGAGAATTCCTGACTTGAACCTAAGAAATGGTGATATCTATGGTGGCATTGACTATAGATTATGTTATCTTGATTCATTATCATCAATGTTTAAGCAAAACGTTTTTTCCATCACCTTTATTTTTCTACTTATAACAGAATTTAACGCAGATGATTGTCAATTTTGATATTTTGAGAATTCCTGGCTTGAACCTAAGAAATGGTGATATCTATGGTGGCATTGACTATAGATTATCTTATCCTGATTCATTATCATCAATTTTTAAACAAAACGGTTTTTTCCATCACCTTTATTTTTCTACTTATAACAGAATTTAACGCAAATGATTGTCAATTTTGATATTTTGAGATTCTTGGCTTGACCCTAAGAAATGGTGATATCTATGGTGGTATTGACTATGGATTAAGTTATCTTGATTCATTATCATCAATTTTTAAGCAAAACGTTTTTCTCCATCACCTTTAGTTTTCTACTTATAACAGAATTTAACGCAGATGATTGTCAATTTTGATATTTTGAGAATTCCTGGCTTGAACCTAAGAAATGGTGATATCTATGGTGGCATTGACTATGGATTATGTTATCTTGATTCATTATCATTAATTTTTATGGGAAACGTTTTTCTCTATCACCTTTAATTTTCTACTTATAACAGAATTTAACGCAGATGATTGTCAATTTTGATATTTTGAGAATTCCTGGCTTGAACCTAAGAAATGGTGATATCTATGGTGGCACTGACTATGGATTATGTTATTTTGACTCATTATCATTAATTTTTATGGGAAACGTTTTTCTCTATCACCTTTAATTTTCTACTTATAACAGAATTTAACGCAGATGATTGTCAATTTTGATATTTTGAGAATTCCTGGCTTGAACCTAAGAAATGGTGATATCTATGGTGGCACTGACTATGGATTATGTTATTTTGACTCATTATCATTAATTTTTATGGGAAACGTTTTTCTCTATCACCTTTAATTTTCTACTTATAACAGAATTTAACGCAGATGATTGTCAATTTTGATATTTTGAGAATTCCTGGCTTGAACCTAAGAAATGGTGATATCTATGGTGGCACTGACTATGGATTATGTTATTTTGACTCATTATCATTAATTTTTATGGGAAACGTTTTTCTCTATCACCTTTAATTTTCTACTTATAACAGAATTTAACGCAGATGATTGTCAATTTTGATATTTTGAGAATTCCTGGCTTGAACCTAAGAAATGGTGATATCTATGGTGGTATTGACTATAGATTACGTTATCTTGATTCATTATCATCAATTTTTAAGCAAAACGTTTTTCTCCATCACCTTTTATTTTCTACTTATAACAGAATTTAACGCAAATGATTGTCAATTTTGATATTTTGAGAATTCCTGGCTTGAACCTAAGAAATGGTGATATCTATGGTGGCATTGGTTATGAATTATGTTATCTTAATTCATTATCATTATTTTTTATGGGAAACGTTTTTCTCTATCACCTTTATTTTTCTACTTATACCAGAATTTAACGCAGATGATTGTCAATTTTGATATTTTGAGAATTCCAAGTACGGAAAAGATTTAGCTAAGAATTGAGCTTCTTTTAAAACAACGTGCTGCAAATAGTGAATGGCATTGAAGAAGCTAAGGTTTAAAACATTCAAATCAGTACTATTCGATGGCTGTAATTTGAATTTAATACCCCATCCATCTCTTCATCCTTCAGTCAGCAATTCTGCATCGTTTTCATAAGATGCGATGTTGCATTATCTTGTTGAACATAAATTGTCTAACTCGATGTTTTTGGTCACCATTGTTCTTCTTGTCCGGTTCTTGCTACTTCTTTTTGCAGTTTCTTTATGCACAAAAGGCCAGAGTCCTATTTTGCCTTTGAAATACTGAATTTTAGCACTGTCATAGCGTGTCATAGCGTGTCACTTTAGTACATTTCGTGACAAATATCTCCCATAGTTTTGACACAATGAGTATCTTGTAATTAAATTAAAATTACATTAGATTATATTAAATGGATAGAAACTCGTTAATTCTCCAAACTTTCCTTAATCGATAAATTTTAGAGAAATGTTTACCATAATTTGGGACAGAGGTATCTTATATGGTCATCACAATTGCTGTATCCAGAAAGTTTAATTCAATTAAATTGAAATTAATGGTGTTCTATTCTAAACAAGAAAGCACTCTTCAAAGGATTATTATGTTATAGTTAAAATTATTAAGTATGAATAACAAAGTTAATGCATTAATGGATCAATATATTATTAAGTAAACAACTTCCATTTATCTTATCCAAAACTGTTTAATAACAATATTATATTTTTTAAGCTGTTGCTAGAGTATCATTAGATACAAGATTAGGATGTTTGAAACCAAATTTGGCTAAAAATTCGGAACAAAAAAAAATAATCAACTCGATCCTAACATTTTTTAAAAACGTCCCTGAAGTGGAACTTCGTTTTCCAATTTGGCGACTCTACCACAACAAAAATTTCAGGGATTACATAGCCGCGTTGGAAACGTTCAGAACGTAAGTATTATAGTATCTTTTAATGGTATATAACTATACATAATAACGACCCATAAGCAATTCTTAAAACGGCCACTTGTTGTATCTCTTGTTCGCGTTATATCACCACTGGCACAGTTCAACGTGCGTTATATAATAGTTGTCGTGAGTATAAAATGAACCCGTAGCTATGTGGGTTACGTTTCCGTAAACGTAAGCCGATTTTACAAAATTCTGGATGCCGTAGGTGTCTTGAACGGAGCTGGATGCCGTTCAATAGGTCATAAAGATTTATTCTCTTTTAAATGTCTCTCGAATGTGAAATATCGACGAAAAAAGGTGCGGTTTTTGTTTGTTATTTAATCTTTAACGGCAGATGTGTACATTTTAATTGTGCACATTTCTTCTTCGTTATATCATCGATCATGTAACAAGTTCGTTCGCCAGCCTCCTTCAAATCACTAGCGTAATAGAATAAATAGAATCGAAAGTACGCGAGGAGAAAGATTCTCGGCATAAACTTGGCATTGAAAGTGATCGTGAGGTAATCGGCTGTCTAGAACGTTAAACTCTTTCATTACTTAATAGTTTGACATACTTTTACGGACGAGAAAAAAATATTTTTCATTTTAAATTATTTCCAGATTATGTGTTAACCATATTAATGAAGCAATACAAAAAGATGTTCCAGGAAGAACATCGATTGTTAAAAGAATTGTTGAAAGAACTGGTAGTCCTAGATTAGCGACGGTTTTAGCGTTAGATTTCTTTTTAGTTGGAGTTGATACAGTGAGAAAAATTAAATAATTAATTAATAATTTTTATTTTATGATTTATTTTAAGACATCAATAACTATAGCTTCAACTATGTATCATTTATCACAAAACCAAGAGAAACAAACAAAATTGTACGAAGAATTAAGAAATATTATCCCAAATTTGAATCAACCTGTTAATTTATCTTGCGATTTATCATATTTAAAAGCGTGCGTAAAAGAAACTTTGAGGTATTTTAAATCTTTTTTTTAATTAATTTTTTTAAATTGAATTTTTTGTAGGTTAAAACCGGTGGTTTTGGGGAACGGAAGAAGTTTACAATCGGAAAGGGTTATTGATGGATATTTAGTACCAAAAGGAGTAATTTAATCGGTTATTTAAGATTAAATAAATGTAATTGATTTTTTATAGACTCACGTTATTTTTCCGCATTTAGTGGTGGGTAATTTGGAGAAATATTTTAGTGAGCCGAGTAAATTTATCCCGGAACGTTGGTTAAAAGAAAACAAAGATGCGGAAAAATTTCATCCATTTGTGTCGCTACCATTTGGTTATGGGCGAAGAGCTTGTTTAGGAAAACGATTCGCCGAGGCGGAGTTGTATATTTTATTAGCGAAAGTTTGTTTTGTTTCTTCTAAACACCCATTCATTCGAATTTTATTCGTTTTAATTTTATTTTCAGATCTTTCGCAAATACAAAGTGGAATATAATTATGGAAAGATGACTTACAAAGTTGTCCCGACTTATACACCTATAAATCCGTTAAAATTTAAACTTACAAGACGAGAATAAAATTTTTTTTTTATTATTATACTTTAATGCTAATTTTAATACAAATATAGTACAAACGAATTTTATTTCATGCACTCCTCGGGAACCTCCGAGAATCCTGACATATTTGCGCATTCCAACTCATAATCATTATACTCTGAGCTTGTTAGAGAAATTTCTTTTTTAATTTGATTACCGTTTTCATCGACGCATCTACAAAATCCTCTCCTACATTGCATCGGGCAATAATTACCATTTTTTAAACATTCCGGTTTTTGTTCCGTGGTTATGCTTCTTGCGCGAGCACAAGCTTAAAAATTAATAATTTATACAATAAAAACAAATAAAAACATTTTTTTTATAGTTTACTTACCACAATTCATTATTTTAACCATATCTGTATAATCATTTTCATTTAGCGATACTTTAAAACCTTCTAATTGATTACCTTCAGGGTCTGAACAATAATAACTAAAATTATTAAATTATTATTAAAAATTATTTAATGAAAAGTGATATTAACCCTTTTGCATCATTCATAGAAATGACAAAGTGTCTATACAGAGTAATTTNAGGCGATACTTTAAAACCTTCTAATTGATTACCTTCAGGGTCTGAACAATAATAACTAAAATTATTAAATTATTATTAAAAATTATTTAATGAAAAGTGATATTAACCCTTTTGCATCATTCATAGAAATGACAAAGTGTCTATACAGAGTAATTTAAATTCGACCCCCACCATTGGGATCTCAGAAACCTACAGAGAAACAGAAACGGTTAAATGAATTCGATTTTCACACCAAAATAATAGGATAATTAATTCTGATTTCAATGATATGTCACACAATGTATTTCATTTAAAAAAATCATTAAATTATTCACAAAAAAGAATAAACCTGATGATAGTTTCACGAAAACCAAACGTCGGAGAAAATTTCTAGTTGTGTCATGACATTTTTCATATAAAGTTGCCTTAAGAATGTTTTTTCAGATTCATGAAAAAACGAAAAAGTAATTTTTTTGTTTTTGGCCATATTTTAAAAATTAAAACGGCTAGATCCAAAAACTTTGTTGAAAAATGATGAGCTCTAAGATACGCAACTTTGCCTCCATTTAATCATTCTGTATCTCTTATGGTTTTTGAGATCGCAATGGTGGGGGTCGAATTTGAATTACCCTGTATAGCCATTTCTTTCCTGGATGTTTTAGTCACTGAGAAGACGAACTAGAAATATTCGAGTTAAGCTGTGCGACTTTAAAGATAGCTAAACCCAAATATTTCTAGGTCTAGTGCAGAGCTAGGTCGGATACAGGAAGAAAGTATTCGAATACCGGATACTTACAATGTATCCGAATACTTTTTTAAAAAAGTACGGATACTTTCTCCATAAATTAAGTTAAATTAATATATTGTCATCCATATTTTACTTATAGTGACTCCTAATCTTTTCAATAATGTATTAACGCCGGTTCTGGATTAGGAGCGGCTCCTTGTGACGTCACGCTCCAATGTTATAAGTATAGGGAAAGTGACCAACTTAAATCTGGGGGGCCAAAAAGTTACTAGATTTAGGTTGGTTGAGTTCAAGGCTACATTTTTAAGTTAGGTTTCCCACAGAACTCTACAATTTTAAAATTTTTTTTTAAGGAAGCTTTCTCTACGTTACCAGATCTAGTTACTTTTTCAATATCAACCTAAATCTAGTAACTTTTTGGTCCCCCAGATTTAAGTTGGTCACTTTCCCTATACTTATAACATTGGAGCGTGACGTCACAAGGAGCCGCTCCTGATCCAGAACCGGCATTAATACACTACTCTTTTCTCCTATATTTTTCCCGAGTTGGTGAAATTTACTGTACACTTGCTAGGAAATGAATTCCTTGAATTTGTTCTAAAAGGGGAAATTTAGTGTACAAATTTTAGTCGGAGAGAGCCCTCGATTTTCCCACAATAATAAAAGAGAAGAACAACTAACTTCCTTCCAACATGTAAAGCCACAATTATTAATGTAGTCACAAAAGATGTACAGTGTGTAGTAGAAGAAACTGAAAAAAATGAGGATTCAAACACTCTGGTGTATATGTACGTGTGTAATAATAGAATCTATATATATATATATATAAATGAATGTTTGTCTGTATGTCCTTTATAGAATCGTAAACTATGCATTTGATCGTGTGATGATCTTTAGCAAAGTAGTTGTGCATGAGCTCACGAAGGTTTCTAAGTTGGTACGACTAATTTTCGATAATTCTCGAAATCAATAAAATGACTAAAAATGAATTGAATATTTGCGTAATGTCTTTCCTTCAAATTTATTTTAGTTGATGGCGTAGCAACGCGTGCAGGGTACAGCTAGTAGGTAATAAAAAAAACTCGATTAAAAGGGTCTAGTGTTAGTTTTAGTTGTTATTCAACGCTAAAACAGAAGTAACACTAGACCTAGTTTTAGCCGTCTTAAAAGTCGTATGGCTAAACCCAAATGTTTCTAGGTCTAATGTTAGTCCTAGCGATAGTTTAAGTGTAAAACTAGAGCTAAAACTATACCTAGAACTAGAATCATTCGGGTTTAGCCGTCTTTAGAGACATGCGGCTAAACTCAAATGATTCTTCTTCTAGGCCTAATGTTAGTTTTAGTCACAGTGGTAGTTAGCGCTAGTTAGCATAAGATATCACTATGTTGCATATTTTTATTGCACTAAAACTAGAACTAACACTAGACCTAGAGCTAGAAATATTCGGCTAAACCCGACACTTTCTAGATCTAGGTCTAGTGTTAGTTCTAGTTTTATACTAGCACTATCAGTTGAACTAACACAAGACCTAGAACTAGAATCATTCGGGTCTAGTGTTAGTTTCAATGATAGTGCTAGTGCAAAACTAGAACTAACACAAGACCTAGAACTAGAATCATTCAGGTATAGCCGTCTTGAGAGACGTGAGGCTAAACCTGAATGATTCTAGTTCTCGGTCTAGTGTTAGTTCTAGTTTTATATTATCACTAGAACTAACACAAGACCTAGAACTAGAATCATTCGGGTTTCGCCGTCTTGAGAGACGTGCGGCTAAATCCGAATGTTTCTAGTTCTAGATCTAGTGTTAGTTCTAGTTTTATGTTATCACTAGAACTAACACAAGACCTAGAACTAGAATCATTCGGGTTTAACCGTTTTGAGAGACGTACGGCTAAATCCGAATGTTTCTAATTCTAGCTCTAGTGTTAGTTCTAGTTTCAGTTGGTATTCAGCGTCAAATTGTAGTATTTTTTATTCAACCTGAATGATTCTAGTTCTAGGTCTATTGTTAGTTCTAGTGCTCATTTATGTTGTTATTCAGAGTCAGGTTATTGTATATTTTTATTGAAGTAAAACTAGTTTTAGTTGTTATTGAGCACTAAGTAGTTGTATATTTTGAACACTTTGTTTCTGAAGGAAGTTATAGTTCTAACTAGTCTAATATATAATTGGATAATTTATTTATTTATCTCATGTGGGTACAGAAACAGGTCAAACCCAATAACACTGTACCAGAAACAACCAATTGTATACAAATAGAATTACAGTATATCAAATCAAATATCAAATGAACGCTCGAGGCAACACACCAACTGCGGCAAAGAGCAGTTTTTTAAAGGCATAGAAAGAATGTTGAAACAGATCTATGTTAACACGATTTGCTGATCTTGCCATACTCAATAAAGGAGTGTTTTGACAGGCATTGGTTCTAGGAGTAGGCGTCATAAATAGAAAGTCAAAGCGAAGTAATCTCGGAGGAACAGGAACACATATAGAACCAACAAGCATTGGAGAATCACATTTGTTGTTCAAAAGTTGATCATCACACTTGTTACCATACGAAAAGAAGTGCAAGTTGATTCGAAATCTATGTATTGAACGGACAATTTAAAACAAAGGTATTTAAAGAATTTAGATTGAATACGCTCCTACAGAGGAATCCAAACGACGCTGCAAAAGTTAAGTGTGCTGTAGACATAGGCAAAATAGAGATTTCTAATTGCATCAATGTTAGAAAAAGCTACCGTGGATCTCATAATAAATCCTAACATACGCAAGGCTTTGGAGACAACAGTATTAATATGTTTATCAAATAATAATTTATAATCAAATGTAACACCCAAATCTCTAATANTTAATGACCCAATGTCACCAACTTGAACTGGTTCCATAAAATGTTACTAAAATCTCATTACAGCATCGGATGCTGTAAAGAGTCTCATTACAGCACCCGTTTGAGTACTGTTATAGCTTCCATTACCGTAGCGAATTACAAAAAATATATTTTAGTGATGTTGCAGTATACAAAAACTTTTATTACTAATATAAAAATAATACACTTTTTATTACGTTGGAAAATAAGTAATACTTGCTTTAGCTAAATCACATTATGACATTCAGAAAAAGAGTTCTTTCACTACAACATAAATAAACATTGCACGCAGTACATTTTGAGTGGGGTTTAGCTTTGGCAGAACGATTTTCACAACTTCTTCTTAATCAGACCTATATCTATAGAACAACAAAAATCTGATAGAATATTGAGAAAAAACATATTGAGCAAAAACTAACATTTTCACATAGTCGTGTTTATTGAAATTAAGAAATGAAACTTATTTTAAATGGAAGCTTAAAGCTTTCTCTTTAAAATGATGTATAATAATGGTTGTGTTGGATCACAAAAATGTAGAGGAAAAAGCATGTTGAAATTAAACTTACATTTTTGTATAACCTAAAAATGTCAAAAAGATACCAATTTAAAAATTCCTGGAAGCCGTATTTAATGAAATCAAGGAATGAGACTTATTCTAAATTAAAGATCAAAGCTTTCTCTTTAAAATGATGTATAATAATTGTTCGGTTGGATAAGAAAAATATTGAGGAAAAAACTAATGACATAAAACTTACATTTTCGTATAACAGTGTCAAAAAAGATGCTGATTATATAATTGAGGAAGCATGTTTCTGTAAAACCAAGAAAAGCCTGTGCCACCACTTCTTGGAACAGCGGTCGGTTGCATACACTTGTCGAAGTTGATCTGCATGATCTACCGAACGCAGTAGTTGAAGGACAATCCTTTCACCTAATCCATAAGTTTGAAGTTTTTCTTCAGTTTCAGGAGATTTTCCCTCATACACATCAAATTTCTATATGTACCCTTTCTTATCTGCTAAGCACCTGGCTTATAACCCCTTTTTATGGGCCCCTCTCTTTGAAGACTATCATGCATTCATCCACAGCAAACTGCCTAGTACCATGATAATAACTGTAAAAGTGATGGTTAAGTATTTCAAAATACGGGCGGATCTTGTATAGTTTATCCGTATTATTCTTGGAATGTTATCATCGTTGATATGCAGATATGATAAAATCTCCTGAAACCTGTTACGGGTCATTGTTCATATGACAAGTGATACATCCCCAAGTCTTCAGCATTACTCCAGAAGTAA